AGCGTTGCCAGCAGGTGGAGGGAGGTGATCCTGCCCCTGTCCTCAGCCCTGGGGAGGCCTCACCTGGAGTACTGTGTCCACTTCTGGGCTCCCCAGTACAGTCCAAGAGAGACACGGCGCTACTGGAGCGAGTCCAGCGGAGGGCTACGAAGATGAGGAGGGGACTGGAGCATCTCTCCTGTGAAGAAAGGCTGAGAGAGCTGGGCCTGTTGAGCCTGCAGAAGAGAAGACTGAGAGGCGATCTCATCAATGTGTACCAGTAGCTGAAGGGGGGGTGTCAAGAGGCTGGGGCCAGACTCTTCTCCGTGGTGCCCAGCAACAGGACAAGAGGCAACGGGCATAAACTGCAACACGGGAAGTTCCGTCTGAACCTGAGGAAAAACTTCTTTCCTGTGAGGGTGTCAGAGCACTGGCACAGGCTGCCCAGAGAGGGCGTGGAGTCTCCTTTGCTGGAGAAATTCCAAACCCGCCTGGACGCAATCCTGGGCAATGTGCTCTAGATGATCCTACTTGAGCAGGGGTGTTGGACTAGATGATCTCCAGAGGTCCCTTCCAACCTCAACTGTTCTGTGATTCTGTGACTGAACCTATGTCTTCTCCCACCTGCTGCCAAAGGGATCTCCAACAGCTTAAATTCAGTCCATGGTTTGCAGCCTCACTGGATGGCTGGACAGCCTCTTATTTGTCTCCTCCAACTCCACATTTCAGCATAGGGAGTATAAAGCTATTCATACTTACTTTAACATGAAGAGCAGATTGGGATTATGTTCTAGAAGGCCAGGATAGAGTTGTTGGGTGGCTTCTATAGCCTCTCCCACTCTGCCAGCTAATACTAGCTTCTGTATTCCTAAAAGCAAAAGGAAATTATTGACACATAAGACAGACCAACAAGAACAGCCAGAGCAGTTACAGAAAGACGTTCCCGCACAGCTCCCCACTTACACCTTGCACAAGGGCTAGGGAGAGCTAGGTGACATGCATATTTTGTTTATTATGGATTAAGAGGAGGAAAAATCTGTGAAAATGAGGGAGAATCTGCTAGTACTCTTATTGGATCTGGGAGCTTAAACCAGCGTAGGACTGCTTCCTTACTCTTCCTGTCTCTAAGTAAAATTTAATTATACCATAAAAACTAGGCTTCTATAATTCCCATCATGTTCCAACAGAACTAACTTGACCTGTCCCGCAATGAAGATGTGGCACCTGTAAGCAAGCTCCAGGAATCAGGTATTGGCTAAGATAGAAACAGCTCAACAAGCTGTACATCTCTGGGAGATGCAGGGAGATAAAGCAGAAGCCATATATCAACCTGCGTGTTCATGTCCCAGGTACGTTCCTTTGATAGGACAGAAGACACAAGTACAAGACATGCAGTCCCTGATCCCATCCCAGGGAAGCTGCTAATCTGCAAAGATTCACAGTTTATTGTTTTCTAAATGTACTTAAACTAAAAATGTATTGCATTTCCCTTTCTGTTTATTCCAAGACTTCTTACAAACAACAGAGAGAAAGTTACAAATCCCTTGTGAGCTGTTTTGCAAGCAGAGGCACGATTAACAACAGGCTGCAACTTTCAAAGGTAGCACAAACCATGAGAAGTTGAACACAGAGCCCAGTAGAGCTCATTACCAATCCCCTGTAACAATCTGAAATTACATGTCTTGGCTCCCATTTCTCAATGTCTGCTTGTTTGTAATCACCTTAAAGCTAAAATCAAAGACATGGCTCTCACACCAACGTGTATTGCAGAGTGTCCTTCATTCCATTCTGTTTCTTCTATTTACTTATGCATCACTTTTCATGTCTTACTACTTTTGACAGCTCTCTTCTTTGCCTTGGTTGGCAACTTTCACGGATATCTCTGCCTTTTATATTTTCCCTTCTGTTTTCCCATTTGTTTTCCTTTGCCCACTTCTCTCCATTTCCCTGTACTTTTATAACACCTTTTATTTAAGCCCAAAACTCAGAGATCTATCTTACTTCCCTCCTCTCTGCCTGTTCTCCTGTCCTTAGGCAAACAAGATTGTGTTGTCTCATATGCTTCCTATAGGGCCTTACCAATAAAGCCTGTTCCAGTAAGAACACTGGTTGGGGTCAGGGCTGCATAATGTATGACCTGGAAAGCATAAAGCCCATAAACACCAACCATGCAAAGGCACTAGTAGACAGCAACTACAACTTATTTTGGGTACTAAGCAGAGGATTATTTAAACCTGAATGCTGTCTAAGCCCATGCAATGTATGCAGTGACAGCTACAAGGGGCATGATACACCCAATACACAACCACATGAGAAACTTTTCACAAAGGGAAGAGGAATGCATGGAGCAGGATGCAGCCTGTATTCAATGGCCAGGAGAAAGCAGAAAATGCACCAATGCTCTGTGACTCTGCAGTTTGAGTCCATGAATAGAATGAACCAAAAAAAAAAACCTTCACAGCACAAGGTGGCTGGAAGTCTTATTCTGGGGGAACCAAGAACATTTTCAGCCCTATAAACTGAGAGCAGAATCACTTTGGATGAAATAGAAGTACTCTGAAACACACTGAGTAGAATTCCATCAACTAGTGTGAGCTAAGCACTTTGGTTATGAATTTGCACAACCCTAAACATGCAAAAAATTGACCTGAAGACAAAATGCGCAAAATGAGTGGAAGACTCATTAACTCTGGCAGTTGTAGGGAGAATAAGCTGATACATTTGGATCTCTACAGTCATGCTAATGAAGCTGCCCCCACTGCCAAAGATTGAACCAAAGAACCCAAATGCAGAAGAATCTCTGGTGCACAGTAACATCAGTTCAGTTAAAGCCAAAGCAAACCACTTCTATTCACCAAATTGGTACTACCTAGAAGAAAACACTTGCCCTGGTACTAGGTGTTTATCCTAAAGTGTGAAACTGCTGGACTCAAAGCTGACAGTTGCCACATCTCTCCCAGTTAGGGCAGCAGACATTCAGGTATTCATTTTCTACAGAACTGAGAAAAAATAACCAAGCTGATCAGACAGCTTAGTCTCCTCACATCACCAGGCATGCAGGTCATTTCTCAGAGCACATAAGGAAAAGAAACAAAGAGCAGCTCTTCAGGCAAAGACGGAGAGTGCAGAGAAGACACAGTGATGATGATAAAAATGCTCAGAGGAGCGGTCCCCAAGCTCTACTGACCCACAAGCAACAACACTAAGTCAGCAGTGTGCTGTGGGCAGCTTCATACTTTATTCCTCTCCCAGCCACAGCTTTCACTTCTAGATCTGTGGTCACAGCACCAGAGAGTCCTGAAGGTAATGTGCAGCCAGCATGCCACACTTTGGGAACAGCTGCCCAAGAGACTTACTTTGTCTATTCTTTATTGAGGTCTGCTCTTCCTGGATTGTGGTGTCTGTGACTCTGGCAAAGGCAGCTGCTGTTGAACAGTACCCATGATGAACCAAATAGGAAGAAACCATACTAGAAAATAAGAAAATACAAACAGAAGAACAGACGTTAGTAAAACACGGTAACCATACCGGAGAAAAAATCACCAATATGACAGAAGTTGCCATTTCAGTGAGCAAACTCTGCTTGGCTAGGACATAATCAGGGTTCTGCTTTGGTTCTAGACAGTGCTAATTTACAAGATAGGCAATTGATGAAGATAGGCCAAAAAAAAAAAAAAAAAAAAAGAGAGAGAGACCTCCATAACATACAATACATAGACAACATAGACAGTATTTATTTACTGCCACCCGAGGATTATTTGAAAGAGATTGCATTGTGTTACTGATAGTGACCTGTTAGCAACACAGATACAGCCCCCTCCTCCTATGCAAACAGGAAATCCAAAACTCACAGAGAGGTTCATGGCTTTCAGGTAGATCTTAGAACTAAGTTTTCTGGTCCTGAATTTCTGTTATCACTTGTTTTGTCAGTAATTGTTCAATTGCTAATTGAATCTCCTTATGAATTCTACACATGTACAGACACTTTCATTTGCTCACTTACAAGCAGTGGACTGTTAGCATTTTACAAACATTTTAAACACATTTTTAAGTTGTGTTTCCCCAAATGTTAAGTGGGGGAAAAAAGGAAAAAGTACTATCACGGTCAGAAAATTAACACAACTAATATATCTTTCTGAACAGCCAATTCCTGAAGCATTTATTTTTGTGCCTTCTCAGGATATGTCAGGTAAATGTTAATGCTAACTGGGCTTCAAGGAAACCTGAAATCCCAGCATTTCAAAGCTTCTAGTGATGAATCCCAAATTGGGCTTCTAACAGCGAAGCTGGTATTTATTCAATCCAGTCAGGAGATGGCTCCAAACATGTGTTAAGTTTGATCATTTCAGTACAGAAAAGAAGTATTTTAGGAGTCTGCAATAACTTCCAGGTGTCTAACACTGTAAGCAGGTTTCTAATTTTTAAAACTTGCCCAGGAGTCACTGTAGAATTGCTTCTGATCACTGTCAGTACAAGGCATGCCCTTTGCATGTCTTCTTGTCCCAAAATGCACCCACACACAGATGTGGCATGGTATAAATAGGCTTAATAGAACACACATGTTTCACTGTCAAGTACAGCAACCAGGTGGCCCTGGTTCAGCTAGGCTGAAACACTGAACATACCAATCCAGCTTGGCAGGAACTGGCAGGAAAGACCAACATTCATTTCAGTTTAACTCAGTAGCCAGAGTCAGGGGCTCGCTGCTGCATGGATTTAAACACTCCACAAAGCTACATGAAAACCGAGTTCCTCCCTGCGCTCCTTCTGTCCCTGGCATCACAGAAAAAGCCTCCTCGTTGGTACAGAGCAGTGTAATAAGCTAGATTTTCCGCAATGACTTATCAGTTGGATTAGTCAGCTACTTACTATAGCGGAATGCTGTACGCTCTCTATTCAGTAGCATTTTTGCATCCAACGGTACCTCTCCTGAAGTTCTGGGGGAACATTATTGCTCTCCAATGTGGGCTACGTGACATGCTCATGCAGATAACAAAACCTTTCAGAATCCCACGTTCTCCTGTGACTTGTCTTTGGTCCCAGACAGTTAAACCTATCAATGGCCAAAGAAATAGCTTTTACCATATGGGAACCATGCTTTGAATATCCTGAGAGCAGAAGTGCCCAAATCACAGCAGCAGCTATCTGTGTGCTGCATCTAGTGGTGCTTCTTTCAGCCAGAGGGGTCATTGTGGTGGCAGAGAGGCCTATACTGTCTGTAGCTTTTCTTCTACAAAGCAGAACTGGCTGCACACTTCTCTGTATAAATTAGATACAGCTCTCCTCCTTCTGGCACGCAATCATTTAGACTCTCAAATGAACAATGCTGAATCCTCCTGAATTACCAAAAATAGGGGTCCATACAATTCCTTCTCCCACAACCAACCTAACTAGCTGATCTCAAGTTTCAGATGACTCCTATTTGGATTCTTCATGGTAAGACCTAAAAAGACTAGAGATCCTACAAGACTATAACGATACACAAAGAAAACTAGTTGTCCATTTGTCTCCCTTTCAAGGTTTCAAGCACTTAATCGGTCTGTCTAGTGATGGCATATCCAGGAGCACAACACAGATCAAAAATTCTGCTACACTAATTCTTCTTCCTCTACCCTCCACAGAGGCACCCCCTATAGCAAATTTTCCCTAGAGACAGCTTCTCTGAGATTAAGCCTTTCAGGATTTGTCAGAGAGGAAAATCCTTGAATTTGTCAGAGAGGAAAATCTTTGAAGGGAAAGTGAGTCTGCTCATGATGCTTAATTGCAGGGTTACAGAACAAGTAAGATGCAAGTAAGTAAGATGCAACCAATCCTACCAAAGTCACAAGAAAGACAATATTGGCCCAAGAGCTCTAAAGATGAAACAGCTGGACTGCTAACATGGGGTATAAGCCCCACGTTAAAACTGCTTAAAATTGCCTAGGAAGAGGAGGAAGATGTAAAATGTGATGCTGAAAGAACCCCAAAGGAGATATCAAGAGCTCTAGATCAAACACCATGACAACTCTACCAGGCAATCCACTAGCACATCAGGAGAAACAATTCTGAAGAAAACAATGAGCAAACACAGGGATAAACTGGTCCTATTGCACCGGAGTCAACACAGCTTTTGTAAAGGGAAGTCATGCCTCTCTAATGCAGCAAAATTCTTGAAGGGAATCAGGAAACAGGTAGAAGACAGATCTGGTGCAGTCTACTTGGTTGTCCAAAGGTTACACAGAATCACAGAATCGTTTAGGTTGGAAGGGACCTCTGGAGATCATCTAGTCCAACCTCCCTGTTCAAGCAGGGTCACCTAGAGCACATTGCCCAGGACCACATCCAGGCGGGTTTGGAATATCTCCAGCGAAGGAGACTCCACCACCTCTCTGGGCAACCTGTTCCAATGCTCTGCCACCCTCACAGTGAAGAAGTTGCCCATTGCCTCTTGTCCTGTTGCTGGGCACCACGGAGAAGAGGCTGGCCCCAGCCTCTTGACACGTTGATGAGATCGCCTCTCAAGCTTCTCTTCCCCAGGCTGAACAGGCCCAGCTCTTGCAGTCTTTCTTCCTAGGAGAGGTGCTCCAGCCCTCTAATCCTCTTGGTAGCCCTCCGCTGGACTCTCTCCAGGAGTGCCATGTCTCTCTTGTACTGGGGAGCCCAGAACTGGACACAGTACTCCAGGTGAGGCCTCCCCAGGGCTGAGGAGAGGGGCAGGATCACCTCCCTCCACCTGCTGGCAACACTCTGCCTAATGCACCCCAGGAGACCATTGGCCTTCTTGGCCACAAGGGCACACTGCTGGCTCATGCTTAACTTCTTGTCCACCAGCACTCCCAGGTCCTTCTCGGCAGAGCTACTTTCCAACAGGTCAGTCCCCAAGGACCTGGGAGTGCTGGTGGGCAACAAGTTAAACATGAGGCAGCAGTGTGCCCTTGTGGCCAAGAAGGCCCATGGTATGCTGGGGTGCATTAGGCAGAGTGTTGCCAGCAGGTGGAGGGAGGTGATCCTGCCCCTCTCCTCAGCCCTGGGGAGGCCTCACCTGGAGTACTGTGTCCAGTTCTGGGCTCCCCAGTACAAGAGAGACATGGCACTCCTGGAGAGAGTCCAGCGGAGGGCTACCAAGAGGATTAGAGGGCTGGAGCACCTCTCCTAGGAAGAAAGACTGCAAGAGCTGGGCCTGTTCAGCCTGGGGAAGAGAAGCTTGAGAGGCGATCTCATCAACGTGTACAAGTATCTGAAGGGGGAGTGTCAAGAGGATGAGGCCAGCCTCTTCTCCGTGGTGCCCAGCGACAGGACAAGAGGCAATGGGCACAAACTGAACCACAGGCAGCTCCATCTGAACCTGAGGAAAAACTTCTTCCCTGTGAGAGTGACAGAGCATTGGAACAGGTTGCCCAGAGAGGTAGTGGAGTCTCCTTCGCTGGAGATATTCAAAAGCCGTCTGGATGTGATCCTGGGCAATATGCTCTAGGTGACCCTGCTTGAGCAGGGAGGTTGGACGAGATGATCTCCAGAGGTCCCTTCCAACCTAAACCATTCTTTGATTCTGTGATTCTCAGAACCAGGACCCTCTGGGCCTCGGCCACAGAGCTGCTGCCGGCCAGTCTGTCTCCTTCGTGGGTCACTGCAAGGGGTTCTTCCCTCCTGGGGCAGGAGTGGGCATTTTTTCTCTGTTGAAAGTTCCTGAGCTCCAGGAGCTCCGCCAGCTCCCTCAGCACTCGTGGGTGCATCCCATCAGGGCCCATGGATTTATGGATGTCCAGTTTGGACAAAAGATCTCTAACCTGATCCTCCTCCACCAAGGGAGAGTCTTCCTTTCTCCAGACTTCCTCCCTGGTCTCCAGTGTCTGGAATTCCTCAGGACTGGCCTTAGCAGGAAAGACTGAAGCAAAGAAGGCATTCAGCAACTCTGCCTTCTCTGTATCCTTCGTCACCAGGGCACCCACCCCATTCAGCAGTGGGCCCATGTTTTCCCTAGTCTTCCTTTTGTTATTGATGTATTTGAAAAACCCCTTCTTGTTGTCCTTGACGTCCCTTGCCAGATTTAATTCCAGCTGGGCCTTAGCCTTCCTTGTCGCATCCCTGCACACTCTGACAACGTCCCTGTATTCCTCCCAAGTGGCCTGTCCCCTTTTCCACATTCTGTACACTTCCTTCTTCTGCTGGAGTTTTGTCAGGAGTTCCTTGCTCATCCATGCAGGTCTCCTGCCCGCTTTGCTGGACTTCTTACTCGGAGGGATGCACCCGTCTTGAGCCTGCTGGAAGTGATGCTTGAATATTAACCAGCTTTCTTGGACCCCTCTTCCTTCTAGGGCCCTACCCCATGAGATTCCCCTAAGTAGGTCCCTCAAGAGGCCAAAGTTAGCTCTCCTCAAGTCCAGCGTTGCAATCCTACTTATTGCCCTGCTCCCTCCTCGTAGGATCCTCAACTCCACCATCTCATGGTCACTGCAGCCAAGGCTGCCCCCAACCTTCACCTCTCCAACTAGACCTTCTTTGTTCGTTAGGACAAGGTCTAGCATTGCACCTCTCCTCGTTGGCGTCTCCACCACCTGAGTCAAGAAATTATCATCAGGAACCTCTTTGACCTCAATGCTTTGCAGGAACCTCTTTGTTTGTGCCTAGCTGTGCTGTCTTGCCAACAGATGTCAGGGTGGTTGAAGTCTCCCATGAGAACCAGGGCCTGTGAACGTGAGGCTACTTCCAGCTGTCGGTAGAAGGCCTCATCGATGACTTCCTCCTGGTCAGGTGGCCTGTAGTAGACCCCCACAACAGTGTCACCCATGTTACCCTGCCCTTTAATCCTTACCCATAGGCTCTCAACCTGCTCTTCATCCACCCCGAGGCAGAGCTCCATCCATTCTAGCTGCTCCCTCACATAAAGAGCAACTCCACCACCTCGCCTTCCTGGCCTGTCTTTCCTAAAAAGCACATAGCCATCCATGACAGCATCCCAGTCATGTGAACTATCCCACCATGTCTCTGTCACTGCAATGAGATAATGGCAGAATCCTTCTGCAAAGGCTCTCACAGAAACTATGCTACCATGCGATAAGAGGGAAGGTCCTAACACAGCTAAATATTCAGTTAAATAATAGGATGGCAAAAAATGGTCAGTTTTACCAGGGGAGGGAGAACATACTGGCGTCCCACAGGAACCTGTACAATCGCATATTCATAAAACAAAGCTAGATGGACCAGTGCTCCAACCCAGTACAGGTGGTTTTATGTTCCAAAATGCAGGGTGTATGCTTTTTTCTGAATAAGTTGCCTTTTGTGCTGTACAAACTAAGTGTTTCAGTGTTTCTATTTAAATATCAATGAAGCTCTTCACATTTCGGGGGGGAGGGAGGGAGGGAGGGCGGAGAAGGGGGGGCTGCTAAGCAAGCTTTCCAAAAGCACATCCTTAAGTCTTTCCACAGCCTGTCAAGATGCTTTATAGAGAGTGAAATGACCTCATACAGACAACAATGCAGTATGTCAGAACGTTAAGACTCTAGGCACGTCCATGCTGAGTCAGACCAAGCATCCCGTAAGCCCAGCATCTTGTAACCTTCCAACTGGCAAAAGCAGATGCCTAGAACAAAATAAAGGAACAAAGGCATATATGAAATGATACTTCTCCACAAAACCCTTCCAGCTTCCCTGATTTGCCAAAGACTTTCTGTCCTAAAGGCGGTGTCTCTAGACATGGCAGCCCCTGATAGATTTTTCTTTTACTAATCTGTCCCGTCATTTTTTGAATTCATGTAGCTTTCACAGTATTCTGTGGCAGAGAATCTTGCAGCTTTAAGTAACTGCTATATGAAAAAAATCCTTTAGCTTACTCCGAACTTGCCACCTTGTTAACTTCAGTGGATGCCCTTTAGTTCTTGCACTAGGAAAAACAGTATGGTTCCTTTGTCGCCTTCTCCAGGCTATTCAAGATTTTTGATAGACTGAGAATTACCAACAACCACCAATTACCAACAACTGTCTCTTTCGAATGCCGAGGGACAGTATACTTGTCCTCTGCCTAACAGTCATTCCATACCTTTGCAAATCCTGTTGTTTTCCATGCTTTTTTTCAGTTGTACTAGATGCTTCTGGAGCTTAAAGAAGCAAAACATCACACAGTATTCAAGTTAAGGATACCCCACAGATTCACACAGTTACAAGATGTTTTTTGTCCTCTATTTTTCCCTTAATAAATCCTCACATTCAATTTTTTCTGCTTGCTACCAAAAAAAGAGCCGATATTTCAGTGCAATGATTCATCATAACCCAAAGATCTCACTCCTGAAGGGACACAGTCAGTTCAAAACCCATCATCAGTCTATCTATAAAGTTACAAGATGTTCCACCCACCTATAATATAGCAGTGCTCTCCTGCACTGCTCTCCTTTCATTTGGGCTGAATCTTGCCTGCCATCTCACTGCCTGCTCATTCACCTTTGGAAGGTCATTCCCATAGTTCCTCTCAACACCTTTCACTTTGCTACCTCAGTAGCTCAGTATCCTCAACAAACTGTGTCACTTCACTGTTCAACCCCTTCTCTAAGTCATCTATGCATATGCTCAACAGCACAGACACCAGCACACCTCTAGCAGGACTCTACAGCCACCAATTCCACTCTGGAAATCTCTCTCCTCCCCCACCCCTCCTTTTAAACAACTCTTTATCAACATCAGAATGTTTTCCCTTAGCCTCTGGCTGCTTAGTTCCTCCCAACCTCCACAGCAAGGGAACATCCCAAAAGCTTTTTGGACTTCCAAGACAAAGACGGCAGCCCAAGAACTGTATCTACAGGCCTGGTGGCTCCTCTTCATAAGAGTCACGTCCTATTTCTCCATGTGCTCAGTACATCTACTCAGTAGCGTTCCTACAGATTTATCCAAGACAGATATTGAGGTTCTCTCAGCCCACTGCTCCCTGCTTCTCTTCTGAAAACCTTCATGCAACAGCCCATCATATGCACCACCTTCTCCTCCTCTTGGACAAAGGCACTTCAGACAGAAACTTCATTCCACAGCCAGAAGCTCACCTGTTTTCTCCTTGAGTCCCACTAGGACCCTGGGTAAATACTAGCTGGTCCCAGACACTTTGTCCTTCTGCTCACCTATTTCTTCCAGCACTTCCTTGACAGATACTTCAATCCTAGACACATCCTCTGCCAAGTCCCTCACAAAGAAGGGTCCCAGCATGACAACCTACCCTTTTTCTGCCACACCAAACACACAGGCAAAGAATTCACTTAGCTCCTCTGCTGTGGCCTTATCTTCCCCAAGGGCCTCTTTCTATACTTCAATCTTCTATTGGCCCTACAGAGTCTCTGGCAGGCCCCCAGCTCCTGACTTGCTTGAAAACAGATATTAGTATTTTCAATAGCTTCTGCTAGGTGTTCTTCAAAGTCTTTGTTGGCCAGCCTAATTATCTGCAAATGACTAATACAAGGCTGGCAGAAAACAAGAATGGTCACATGGATCCAGTCATCACTGCATCTAAGTCTCCTGGATAAGACAGTGACCAGCGTTTAGAGAAAGAATATAGTAAAAAGGGCAGAAAGCTTTGTGCAGTAACTAAACAGCAGTAATTAGCAGTTCAGTGATTTGAAACAGAAGTAATAGCTATAAATTTGGAGGTTTAAAATATAACTATAGAATGGCTTCCATGAATTAGTGTGAATGTTTAAATGTGTATCTTTTAAAATCCACTTATACTTAGACCACTATAAATTCCTGCAGCAGAAAGTCCCACAGTTTAATCATGTGCTTTGTGAAGAAGCATTTAATTCTGGGTTTTTTTTAAGCCTGGATGTGCTTGTTCTCTAATTCTTGTGTTTTGAGAAACAGTGAATAATCACTCTCTAGTCCCACTCTTCAAGGCATAAATGACTGAGAGATGACTACTGTCTGTCTTCCTCAATTACCTGTCCCAAGCTGTGGAGCCTTATTCAACATTGCCTTTTTCAGACAGAAGATACTCCTGACCTCTGATAACTCTTGTCAATTGTTTCTGAACCTGCTATAGATCCTCTCAATTGTTTTTGCAATGGGATGACCAGAGACGCATTCAGGGTTCAGAAATGTATGAAGTCTCCCAACAGTGTTTTTAGTTTGGTTTGGTTTGGGAGCCTTTGATTTGGGTTATTCTTTATTCTTTCATTTCTGTCTCCAACTAACTTATGTCACAACTTTTTTCATACAATACAGAGTTTTCATGGTTTCCTCTCCAATCCGCCTTTCCCAGTGCATCATCTCAGACTGTGTGTTCCTCCATTCCTACAAGCTTTTGAGCAGTCACTGGCTGAAAACTTCTCCCATATCCTTTAAACAGGATTTTAAACAGCAGCCATCTACACAGGAAAGACAATTAAACAGCAAAACAGGGTAAAGCAATGCACGTTACATTTAAGCAAAATGCACTGATTGGTAGTTTTTGCCTTAAGAAACTCTAAATACACATGAAAAAAGCATTTAAAGCCTAACGGAACAAAAGAAGCTGAACAGCAATGCAATGACTTACTTCTGCAGCATGGCTTGCCACTCGCCTAGTCTGTCTCCTATGGGAAACCGCTTAATGGTGCTCTGAATCTTTGCTCGCCACTCCCTCATGTAGTCCTCAATGTCGAACACAAACGGCTGCTGCCCAAAGTTGGCATCAACTATCTCTCCTGGAGTCTGGAGACCCACTGTAGGGTAGAGATTTGACTGTGAAGAAACAAAAAGAAAGGAATTTATATTAAACCTCAGCTTTCTCTTTTCTGGTTCCAGTTATGTGGTCTGGTAAGACAAAAGAGCTATTCTTTAAACTGAAACATGTGACAGAAAAGAAGGGGAAACAGGCCCTTTACAGGTAAATTTCAGGGTACCTCATGACTGATCACGCAGTTATTAAAATTTATTGCATAAAACCAGAACACTGGGTTAAATCTCCCAGCATATTATGATCTGTGCCACAACTGCTGCCTGTGGCATGTCCACTTTCTGGATTATTTTCCTGCTACTTCTACAACAGTTCAACAGCCAGTAAATAATAATAACAAAATTAAAGGGCCATGATTTCAATCAGCTGCTCTAAGTGTTCTCCATTGCTTCAGCTGAGCTCTCTTACTCCTTGACAGGAAGCCGCTCTCAGGGTATTTTGTCTTCGATGAAAAGGGAATGGATACTAGTGGGGCTGAAAGGTTAGGCCTTTGATGATCCCAAGACAGCAAGTCATCCGCATGAGAAAATCTACCACCACTGAATTTCCTTTTCAGTTTAAGAACAAGCTTATAGATATAATTTGAAGCTCTGAGTCCCCTGAAACATGGAGAAAAGAGAAAGGTTATCAGTGTGAAAATACCTCTATAATTTTGCCAATATCTGCTTCCAAAAAAGATGATCCAACTGAAAACAGGTGGCCAAAATCTGCAAAGAGGTTCACTGAACTCAGGCTATTTTAAGAACAAGCACATGGATACAAATTGAAGCTTTGAGGCTTGCCTGCCCCAGAGTGAGAAGGGTAATAGAAAAGGTACAGCATTGCCAGGTTCTCACTCTGAAACATCTTTTAACAGCATTTTCCAAAGCCACCTTATTTTTCTATAGCACACGTTACTCTTCTGTTTGCAACACAAGTATATTTCACTAATCCTCTGATTCACAGCATCCCAATTGCCTGCGGGACTGGAGAAGAAAATCTCTCCCCTGCCACTCATGAATTATTTGGTGTTAGGTTTTTATACTTTGCTCTAAAGTACTACGGACTGCTACAGCTAGAAACAAGACACCGGGCAAGGCAAATTGATGAATCTAGGGAAATTAAACCTGGAAGATACCTGGTTGAGGTGTCCTGCTCATGGTTGAAAAACCATGTCAGATTTTGGATCAGTGGAAAAGCAGACCTCTCTCTCCAGGTCAGATCAGGAAGGACTTCTTGGGGTTAGACTGCTCTCCTAAGGAAAATGAAAAGGATTCTCTCCTCTGCTATAGCACGGGACATGGGCTTTCCTAAGATTGTCTGGAAAATTTGTTAAACACATTCTTCACTATTGTAGAGACCTGAGGCAACGTAAACGATCTTCCCTTGGGACATACCTTAGTTGTGGGTTTTACTTTTTACTAAAGGTAAAGATTTTTACAAGGTGAAAATCAGCAGAATGCTGATCACATTAGCAAGAATGGAGACAGAATGTTAAGGGAAATGATTATTCCTCTCTGCTTGGCACTTGTGTGGCTTCATCTGGAATACTGTGTCCAGCTTTGCCCCTCCTTCTCCCTCAAGAAAGGCATTCAAAAATTGGGTATGGTCCAGCAGAGGCCTGCTAAGACGGTCAGAGGGCTGGAGCACATGGCATACGAGAAGAGGCTGAGGGAACTGGATTTGTGTAGCTTGGAGAAGAGAAGGCAAAATGAGAAATCTAACTGATGTCTTCCACTACCAAAAGGGAGGTTATAAAAAAACATAGATTCTTCTCAGAGATGTTCAGTGAAAGAACAAGAGGCAAAAGGCATGAGTCGCAATCAGGAAAATTCTGATGGGATGTTAGGAAGAAATTAATTGTGAGGACGGTTAAGGATTGGAACAAGTTCTCAGAGAGACTGTGGCATCTCTATCCTTGAAGATTTGCAAAACTCTGCTCAGTAAGATCCTAAACAACCTGCTCTAGCTTTGAAATTAGCCCGACTCAAAGTAGGTGATTAGACTACATAATCTCCAGAGATACCTTCCAGCCTAAATTCTTTGAGGATCCCATTATTTTGTGGGTTGTGGTGTGCAGTCAGATCAATAGGTATGCATTATTAGCTTAAATGAAATCTCTCTCTATTCTCACATAAGGGAGAAGTAAAGGAGTAATGGGAGATCCATCAATAATTAGGATCTACTGTAGCAGTACAACTCTCTGACAATAAACAGGCTACTGAGACTTAGAGGAAACATTCTTCTCATTTCGGAAAAGGCACAGCACAATTGCTAAGCAGTCCCTTCCAGCCCACTCTACTGGGGTTGTATACAGATAGTCAGATACCACTTCACACTGCTTCCCTCTTCTGTCCTCTTCAGCTTTAGAGGTGTGTGGCTGGTACTGTACATTTCTGGAATCTCAAATATCAAAGGAGGAATCTACAATTACAGGCTGGGAAATGACATCGTAAAACAGGATGACCACATTGCTACTGACCCAGCACACCTCTTCTTTTCACATTCTAACACCCAGGAAGTCGTTGGGTTACAGAGGCGTGTAAAGAAAACATGCACGATAAAATGAGAAGCCACCAGAAGGAACTATCATATCTAAAGTCAGGCTCTTTCAAATCTAGCAATATTGAGACACTAGAAGACAAAACCCCAAGCCCCAAAGTATTGCCTATTTTTCAGACATTTCTGGATCTGTTCATCTTTGAAGGGAAGACGCCTACCCCCAACTTGTCTCAACTCATCTCAGGGTTAGAATTCCATCTTGCACACATGGTACGTGTCTTCTCTGTCAGCAACTACACGAATCACCACCACCCTGCCAGACGCAGGGAGACACCATCCTAGAGCCCACTAGCGGTTGTTTCTCCTGCCAAGTTCATCAGACACACTTTCCCAGAGATTTTTGAACCACCTCTTCTCTCTGATGTTGATGGCCTGTTCTTCATATCCCCCTAGTTCCTTTTGACTTTTTTGTTAACTGCCTCCTCCTTTTGTGACCCTGCAATCCCAGTCTGGGGCTCTTCTGTGTTCTCCTTTTTCAGATTTCCTACTCTCCTCACATACTTGTTTCAGCAGACTGCCAGGCAGGATAAATCTGAAAAGGGCTTCCATAAATGAGTGAGTTAGATAGGCTTAAGTGTTAGTTTAAATTGACAAAAGAGGGGAAAATTCCCTTTGTGAGCTATCCACTTCTATCTGCAAGTAGTTATTTTCATATTAGCTTCAGCCTATGCTAAGACAAAATGCAATTTTTTCCATCAAAATAAATTCATATAAATGTAAATATTCTTCAGAGGGAACTGAAGTAGCGAACAAGCTGAAGCAAATATGCTTCACTGAGTGTCAAAATTATCACAGGGAAATGTAGGTTTCAGTGAGATCTAGAAACAGCAGGATATGGGGACGCCCTGGGCTCCGGAGGGCTTTGAATTCAACCTCAGCAGCACTGCAAGACCTTGCTACTGCAACAGCCTTTCTGCGTGTTCTGTTCCAGTGCATCATCCTCAAACGTTTATCACCTGTTTATAACAGAGACTCAACATTGCTATGAACAGCTTACAAGCATACATTAAATTTATACATCAGTTCACTGTGCACTAACTTCTGGATCAAAAAGATGCAGTTCAGACTAACAGGGGCAGATATTTCAGCCTGCCAAATCTGTACTACCAAGCACTACAACAACACTTTAGCTGTAAGTAACAAAACTGTAACTTACACTTTAGCTGTAAGTGACAGTATGTGTGTTTTAGTCTGACAGCTGCTTTTGACTGACAAGAGACTAAATAGTAATGACCTGTCTATCTCAGCATGAAGATTGTTCTTATCTCAGAAGGAGGGGCAGTCTAGCTAAATGAGAAGACAAAATGGTGAAAAAATTAGAAGGAAGATGGTAAAATAGATTATCTGGGCTGAAAGTCTTCTAACTCTTAATATAATCTATATCCAGAGTGAAAACAAAAAGCAACTAAAACAACAAAATCTCTTCTTGCTACCAGATGCAAGGCTGCCACAAGACTTTCCACCAAAAGGTTCACAAATTTCAGTTCTTCAAAAAGGTCCCAATAAACATGCACCCAATGGCAACCCACTCGATTAGAGCATACCTGAATTTTTAAAATGCTTTTGCTAAAGGTGCTTACCAATAGCTTCTTAAAGAAACTAACTGGGCAAAGGATAAGAAAGGATTGCCCCAACAATCTCCTATAAATAGGAAATAACAGAAATAAAAGGCAGCAATTAATGGACATTTTCCCAGTGGAGGAAAACTACCAGGAAAACTACCACTATTTGTTACTGCTCAGGAAACAGCGTAAAAGTTACTATGGACAAACTCTGTAAAAGATTCAGCTCATTGTCCAATGAGAAAAAAAGAGGCTCGTTAGTCATCATTGGGAAAGGAACAGAACACAAAATGTAAGTCATCAGCATGCCTATGCATAAAAAACAGCATGACCAAATATCCAGCACTGAGTACAACTCTGGTCACCCCTAATTCAGAGAGGCTATATTTGAACTAGTAGGGGTCAAGAGAAGACTATCAGAGATGATCAGAAGTTACAGAAAGGGCTTCTCTCTACAAAGGCAAACTAAATAACTGGAACTCCTTCAGGACAGACACCAAGTGGGGTATGGCAGAGATCTGTAAAGCCATAAATCACACTGGGAAAGTGAACACAGACTGCTACTCATTATTTCTTACAACACATAAGCTACAGGCAAGAAATAAATTTTTTGACAGGAGATGCAAAACAAAGAAAAGCAAGTATTTTTCCACACACCACAGAAATCTGCCATGTAACTTGATCCTTGTGGAGGTCAAAAGCATAAACCAATTATGAAGTCCAAGAAGCTCCCCAGAGGAAATTCATTTAGGGTTATTAAATACAAAGACAGGAGTGCAACCTGGAGGCCAAGAAGTTCTATGTGTCACCGCAAGACAATTGAACTCAGTGCTTAAACTGTTTTTATCTTCTTTTTCTGAACACTTGCTCCTGTTATAGACAGGATCCTTGGTCTAGGCAGACCTTTGGTCTGAAAAAAGAGCAATTTTTTTTTTCCACAATCCACTGGCTATCACTAAGAAAGCCGTGCTTTTGTAAGAACCAACTGCATGTTACTGCTTGGTGTAACTCAGCTGGTTTAACTGCATTCAAGAGCAATTCTGTATAGTGTCTGGTGAATCAGAGGAATAACTATCAACCCTGAAAGGATGCTGAATACATGCCTGTAGCAATTCCATGAGCAGGTTACTGATCATGGGTGGAGGCTTGTCAAAAACCGTTGCAATGAGCATGCAGGCCATGGCCAGCTGACTCCAAACTTCTTTCACAGAAATATTCTTCCCTAACCACCACCTTGGAAAAGGGAGGACTCCATCGCTGCAAGATTTGGGTGAGAGAGGAAGAAGTAGACAATAATATCTTAGGTATTTTTGTGCTCTCTCCTGACAGGACATGAGCGGCTACTCAAGTGTCTTTATATATGCTGAATCTTCAGTGAACAGCATACTGTGTTCCTCACTGCCAAAGCTGCATTTGGAAGACAGTGACCTGTAACAAAGTTTGAATCTTGCTTTAATTTCAGGAGAAGGTGCAATATATTCTTATTGGTGGTGAGGGAGGACAGGAGGCCTGTGAACAGCATGCATACCTAACTGTAGAATTACAAAGTTTCAGAAAAGGGAGCACTTTCATCCATATCACTCATTAATGTGTGTTACCATTTTGACAGGGCATCAGACAAAATATATCGCACCCCCAAACCCCTTCTATTCTTCCCCCTCCCTTCTATTTGCATCCTTAGTTAAAATACTGAAAATAGGTGTACTTACAGGGAGGTCTGTAAAGGCTATACCTGTGGGGGGAAAAATATTAGAATTAAAAAGACAAAGGATTTTTTCCCTACTTGGCTACATCCTTTACATGCTACAAAAAGTTAGTACGTTTCACTAAACCAGCTCTGACCCTGCATTTTACCACCTCTCATATTTAGAACCAACTTCCCTCCCCAACCCACTCCTCTGCAATGCTTTGCATCTGGAAAAAAGATTCATGGAAAAGACTAAATTTCTCAGACATCTCTCCTAATAGTTTGAGCTTCCAAAAAGCAGCTCCTCGTTTCTTTGCTTCTCCGTCTGTTACTATGAAGTCAATTTTCAAGACTCACTTTGGTTTTAGAAACAGAGGTATTATAAAGTTGCTTTGGTTTGGTGTATAGCTACTTCTCTTACCAGCCAGTCAGAGAGATTGGTATGAACATTAAATGTTTTGCGTTACTGCTGGGGAATGGCCTTGCAACAGGACCAAGCTGCAGCCTGGAACACCTGAGAAATAACGTGCAAAGAATAGCCTCATCCTCAGTTATGCTCTTACAGTTACAAATATGAGAGATGTGAAAAAGCGTATGGTTTCCCTTTTTATTTCTATTGGACAAGGCAGAAAAGAGATATCGCTTAAGTAGAGGTAGACACCTCAAGTTGCTAAAAGATTTGCAGCCAGAGATACTGGAAAACACTCACAGCTGCAAACATAACCAGTCTACCCACTGGGTGTTTGCAGAACTCCTACATGAGCCTAAGGGTATAGATTTGCAATACTTCTCATCTGATTTAGATGTGAGCTAGCAGTTAAAAGGATGATGCCTCTCCTCCCTCCACCATGTTGTGTGACCTGCCATCTACCTGGATGTTGAATCCAGCAGTTGGGCAGCAGGATGGTGAGACAGATCAGCCCACCTTGCACCAAGGCAACCCCCAGCAAATGTACCAGAAATAACAGCTGCTTTCAGCAAGATTCATTTCCACTGTACTTAAATGCTACTGCTAAGAGAGAGGACAGAGAGGCCTAACAGCTAATATTAAGAAAGAATAGGTCACTGCCTGAGATTGGGGTGTATCAGATGGTTACACAGGAATGTAATCTATCTTGCTGTAAAGGCATAAAATAGCAGGGATCCCCAAAGGTCAGTAAAACACACCCGCAGCCACTGAGCATCTTTGAGTCACTCTCACGGACAGCACAGGAGAAACTATTGCAACGCACTCTTCACCTTATTAGGCTGAGCTTGATTAATGTTTTAAAACAATGTTTTAGAAACCACAGTCCCATACACATGCTCCTATGAATTCCTCCTGCCTCAGTCAGGGGAAGGCTGGTATCCACACCAATATAACCAGTTCTGACATACATCCCATCTTGCAGCCACACAGGAACCCATTTTGTGTCACAGTGAGATACACTGCAGCCTGCACAGAAGCAAGAGCATACCATTCCCTGTTTTTAATTTTCAGACTATTTATGTTGAACACTGTCCAGACAGAAACCAAGAGTTGCAATATAACATTATCAGCTTGAAATGGTAGTTTAAACTCATTTTTAGGAGTCAGAGTAGGAAACAAATAATCACTATTTGAAATAGAACAAATTCAAGATCAATGCTCAGAAAAAATCCTGGACTGTGACTAAATAGCCAATAAGATTTAATTAATACTATGACATTTCAGAGCTTATCTGTTGAATACCCTCTCTACAACCTAAACAAAAAATTAAGGATCAATATACAAGTGATGCTGAATGATCATGAATCATCATGATTCTGATGACTGAGAAAAACATTTGGTAACCATTTCTCTCATCCAATCACTTTGTTTTGTCTGTCCACTTATTTTTCTGTACACTGTGTGTTTTCCCCCAGACCTGTTTTTCACACCTTTCTCCGCAGGCATAAGCTTCACAATTGTTTCATTTAGCTGGATGAAAATTTGTTTCTATCCTTAAAATAGACTGAGGCTAATCTCCTTGACTTTGCTGTCTATTGGAGTCCTCTGCCCCCCAGCATCCCCCAGAGTTAAAGGTGGCCCAGCTTTCCCAAGAAAACTCCTGCAGCTGTACATTTGGAGCTGCATCAAGCACACAGCCAAACATACAGTTTTCAAGTGGATTATAAGATGGCTGGAAAATTGGCTGGACTGCCAGGCTCAAAGGGTTGTGATTAGCAGCACAAAGTCCAACTGGCATCTGTCAGGGATCAATACTAAGGCCATTACTGTTTAACATCTTTCTTAACATCCTGGACGATGGTACACAGTGCACTCTCAGGAAATTCACAGACGATACCTAACAGGAGAGGGGTCAGTGGTCACTATGCTGGGAGGTAGGGCTGCTGTTCAGAAAGGCCTTGATGGGCTGGAGAAATGAGCCAGCACAAACCTCATGAAGCTCAACAAAAGCAACGGAAAAGTCCTTCCTGCAGATTGGAATATTCCCACAAAACAGGACAGGCTGGAGCTGAATGGACCTTAAGCAGATCTGCAGAAAAGGACACAGCGGTCCCACTGCACAAGTTGAACAGGAGTCAGCAACATGCTTGGGCAGTGAAACAGGCCACCGACATCCTGGGCTGTATTAATAAGAGTGTACCAAGAAGGCTGAGGGAAGGGATTAGTTCCCTCTACTCAGCACTTGTGAGTCTATAAATGGAGTACCATGTTCAGTTTTGGGCTCCCCAATACAAGAAAGACAGTGACAGGCAAGTCCAGCAGTGGCCACCAAGGCAGTTAGGGGGCTCAAGCTACGTTATATATGAGGAAAGGGTGGGGGAAATGGGTTTGTTCAGTCTTAAGAACAGAAGGTGAACAGGGGATCTTCTTGCTGCCTAGAACTACCTAATGGGAGGGTTCAGGAAATACAGAGCCAGACTCTTCTCATAGGTGCCTGGTGACAGGAGACAGGAGGCAACAGAGACAAGTTGCAACAAGGGAAATTCTTATTAGATATTAGAAAAAAAAATCAACATGAGGGTGGCCAGACATTGAAATGGGATCAGAGAGGCTGTGGGATCTCCATGCTTGAAGACAGTAAAAACTTGAGAAGTTTCTGAGTAACTTGATCCAGTTGGCACTGTTTTCGGTAGGAGGTTAGACGGACGACCTCCAGAGATCCTTTCCAACCTAAATTATTCCATAAATCTTTAAATAAACTTTCCACACTGCCTTTAAATTAACGCATTTATATGTTTTGCTTCCTCTATTCCATAACTAAGACCAATAAATGCTTTATTCAGTGTACAGATCTACAAATCTGCTGCACAAATATGTCTGCTTAGAGAGAGTTCATCCTGAATCTGTACCTCTACATACCTGCATCCAACAAAGTCAACAGCAGAAAGCAAAAGAATCACAGCTTTAACTAGTTAGCTGAGTTTGAAAGGAACTGAATTTAAACTGTACTCTTTCAAAACTTCTAAAACCTAGATTCAATTTAAAATAACAAACTTCAGAAATTTAAAAAACTTAAGAACTGGACAGCTCAAGAGCTCAGGAAGCAAGAGCGAGGGTGTGCAAGTGCATCTCCTGTAAGTCCATGATGTTAATCTGATCAGCATAATAGTGATAAAAAGCATTAACTTTACATGAAAGTTCAGTGCTAGTAGACAGTGTGACCAGGCACTGAGTTCCCAGGAGGGCAAACTGAACGAAGACTACCCGTTCCCTTCTCCACATACCCCAAAGGGCAGATTGTTCCAGGACAGAGATGGACCTAATCTGGGGAAAGCGGATGAGCAAAGCTATATACATCCCTCGTTCCACTACTTTCACCTACCATCTAATCAAAGGACCTTCACCATTCCGTGACTACTAAACATGTGCATGCATCCCTATGCATAGAAGCCTGGGGATCTTCCAGTCAAACCCCAGCTTCCACCCAGCAACGATCATCCTGTCTGCCTCATAGTTGGTCATTTTCTCTGCAGTACATTTCAAAATTAAATTTGCACAAGACAACATGCATCTGGGCGATTGGTCACAACATTCCACTTGGTATGCAGCAGGGCACCCCTTTGGCTTCTGTTTAGGTAAACGAGTATTTTACTTAACAGATTAACTTGGCCTTTCCAAGTACCTGCACTAGAAATCAGATGGACTACATGAAGTTGTCTATGCCAGGACTTCAGAGCATTGCATGCTTTTTTTACAGTCCTGGTGGTCTATAGTTCAACAGGATCTACTCTCAAAGTTTGAGAACTGAAACATTCACACAGCAGTCCTTGAGCAAAGTCATCCACTTAACCAGAGACCTGTAGCAGTTACATTCCCCTATTGTTTCCTGCTTCCCAGACTCTCTGCTTAATGGCTGGAGGCCCATCAGTTCTCACATTTCTCCTTCTGTCTCTCCTAATTCACACAACAGCTCTAGCAACATCTCATCATTTTCTTCTGCCCATTACTCTGCTTAGAACCTGACAAAAGTGTTGCAGACAGAAGACGATATTCAAGATATTTCCCAGGACAGAGAGTTAAGACTGTGTAAGATGTTAAAACAGCTTTCCTGTGACATCTACAAACAAAGTTCAAGACCTTGCTCCAACCAGAACATCCAAAATTTGCGATGGCCAAGCCAACAGTTCTTATATGGTGCTCCTGATAGATCTGATTAAATGGAAATATATGGAGACAATGGAAGGTTAAGAAACAGCAGAAAATTGCAAAGAAAACAAAGGAGGGGAGAGTCTAAACAACAGATGAAGAGGAGGGAAAGAAAAAGCTGAAGAGAGACTATGAGAATATTATCCTGTCCTATTCTTCAGAGAAAGAATAAAGCATTTCCCTTAAAAGTAAGACACATTCAAACACCCAGAGGCAGGGCACTGAAACCGTGCTGTCAAACTAACTGGAATCACGAAGGGGCTTATTAGCCTCATAAATATTTTTGATACCTAGAGCAAAATTACACAATGACCCTATTTCCTGAGAGGAGATATATACAGCTTCAGTGGCTAAAGATGCTGTGTCAGGGAACACCAAGGAAAAAACACATTCATTCCCTTCCTGATAAATCTTGGGTTTATATAATACAGACATGAGATTCTCAGTTTAGCATTAAGTATGAAATGTTAAAGATCTTCATGGAGATACTTCCAGCAGTGCACAAAGGGTATTGACTTCCAAATCATTGCTCCTGTCTCCCTCTGGTCTTAGATCCTCTGCTAACACGGGTCTCACCCCTCCTCTCACATTTACTCTGTTCAGTGATGATGAGAATCTGTGTTACAGCCAGCCAACTGGTATCAGTGGTTATAGAGTGCTCAGATATGCTCTCCTCAGCATCAGACGAAAAGCGCTTCTTCTTCTCTGGAACCTCATGTTTCTCTATTAGTGGCAAAAAAAGACACTCCTGGCCCTTAACAACAGTCTTTCAGGCTGAGGTTTTCATTTTGATTTTGTAAGAAGACATTAAAATGCTCCAGCAGCTGTTGTGGGGAGCAGCACAGCAATGACTGATAGCCTGCTACTCCCCAGCACTTCGATCACACTCTGTTCTACACACATCATCTCTCCTCTCTGAGTACAACCATGCCGCCACTACGACTGAAGGAGGAGCTGGTAAATGAATGAGCCAGTTGTGAAAGTTCAGGAGCTTCTCCCACCTATAATTTTCTCATATATATCATGCCTCATACCACTACATCTGAAAAGCCCAAGAGGAAGATGCCCAGGAGACGACGACACTGTTAATCCACCACTGTTCTGCAGGCATAGTATAGTTTCATTCCCTTTATTTCCTACTCCTTCCCACAGGCCTTGTTCACAGCTGGAGTAGGCTGCCCTCCATGGGATCATTTAGTGTCAGGTTAGAAAACAGAAGCTTTCCACCAAACAGAACTATCGTTGAAAGAAAAGGAGCACTAAAAATCAAGAAAGGAAGACTAAGCAATCTCACTGTGGCAAACACCTCCAAATGTTTTGAACAAAACAAAACACTGAGCAGAACCTGAGGCAAATCAGAAGACTGTAATGATGAAAAGTGATACAAAAGCCACTGAACTGTTCTCTTTGTTTGGCTACAATCTGCCCAGACACCATCGCTTTAACATGGCTTACGTGGCTATAACAACAGCATGGATTAAAGTAAAGCAAACGTCAATGTTCCCAGAGAATTCCAACTGACATTCTCTGTGCTCTGCAAACTCCTAGCAATGAAAAAGGTGTTAAATTTCAAACGAACAAATTGTTTGCATTAAATAGAAGACCTGGCCTCTTCTTGACTAGTACGCTTTCATTGTGGAGGAAAAGAACAGCACTCTCAGGCTAAAAACCTGTGAAGCTGGAAAACTGCCCGCTCAAACAAAGGAAAACAGCCAGAGTGAGCAGCACAGCACAAATCACTTTCCTACTTCTGTGTAAATACACACTTGAAATCAAGGTCAGTAACTAAAAGGAGAAATTTTGTGAAATCTCTTCAACTATTTCAGCATCTTAATCACTGCTGCATGGTGAATTTGCCTCACTCCTGAGCAACAGCTCCTGTTCTACTTCACCAGCTGTTGCTTTCATACCTCTGCTGGTCTTCCCAGCACAGGACTGATGAGGTCAATGCCCACAGACTATGAGTTAAACGTAAAATAATCCACCTCTTAGATATCTGGGCAATTCACTAATATATGGACTACAAAAGACTCCTCATCACCTTTGCAACTGGTCTTGCTAGCTGATAAGCCAGAAGTTCTCACCAAGAGCTCCCTCGCATCACACATGGTCTGCCTGACAAATAATTATAACTTCAGAAGCCAGACCAGATTCTTAAAGAAACATTCTCAACTCTGAGTAACTCCCCAGGGGGCTTCTGATGAAGGTTCCATTTATAATATTAGAATGCTAAAAACAAATCTCAAAGGATGCTTGAATTAATTTTTTATTTTTTTCCATTCGGGGCTTGAGACCTCTTGACCTGTTGCAAAGCATTAGAACTATTTGCTGAATGCACTACTACCGAATCAACACAGAAAGCTTCTGGGAGCCCATGTGCCTCATTTCTAGTCAACTATCCCCTCACCTATTAACAAATGGAGACTATGAAATTAGAGGAAAACTGAAAACCATTCTCCAAAGAAATTCTGTCTGCATGAGCTTGAGGCCTTTTTACATCTGCTTCAAAAGAAGGGGTCTTCTTGAGATACAAGGGGAAAAAAGCTCTCCATCTCAGATCCATGTCTCTGATACACCTGCAACATAGGTTGCTCCTTCTCCTGCCAAGAACTCACCAGAACTTACGCACTCTCCAGACTGCACATACTGCACTCCTGCCCTACTCCTTCCTTCTGCCCAGCCAGTCACTCAAAACAATTTCTTTTCTGATAAAGGTTTTGACTGTGGTATTTTTCTACCAGCTTCTTCATCCTGAATTCAATCAAATAGAATTGATGCAGCAAGGAGAAGCAAAGGAAAGGAGTGCTTTCCCCCTGCCAAATCAAATGAATTCCAGCTTAGAAAGTGAGATGATCTTATCAAAATATATTGCAGTGACAAAATAAATGACAAGGAATTACCCCGGGCGAGGGGGAGAGGGTCATCCACAAGGGAAAGACATTTTAGGTGCAAATGGCTACAACTTACTATTTTGGACAAATTAGATATCAGGGATGCCTGGAAAACATCTGTGAGATATTCATTTGAGCAAAATCTGAAATTCCTTAACTTTAGGGGAAATACTGAAATGGCTGTGGAATGAATCAGTGCTTCAGATTCGCTTCAGTGTAAGATGTCTTATACTGAATTAATGTCTAGCTTTGTGACTGCTTGGACCAATGAGTTAGGGCTCAAAGATACACAAGTCCCTTTAAAAAGTGAAAAGTCACTGAGTGATACAGTGGCTTTGAATTATCCAACCCTATCACCAGCTGTGCAGTAGTGGAAGAAAGGAGCAGAAGCTGGGAATGCAATCCTAAACTACTTAAAAGAAATTGAGCAGTACAGAAGTCACTTTACGTGCCTGAAATATTCATGTCTTGGAGGCACCTTACAACTCCTGACATTTGCTGAGTGTTCTTTTCTCTTCCTTTTCTTAAACCTTACTCACAAATGTGGGACAACAGTTAAAACATGCAAAGCAGTAAATGGCAGTGAGAGCAGGGTGGGAGCATTTTTCACCCAAGAATACCTTTCTCTGCTTACCTAAACTGTGGCCATTTTTTGTGTAGAAGCAGGTATTGTTGATAAGATTGACACAGCAGCCGATTACATCTCCAGTTGTGAATGTAGGGCCATAGGGCTGTCCTGTCCCCGAAGAACAGAACGAGTGCCCGTCATCACCATGATATCCATACGAATGTTTATCCCACCCTGCAGAAAGAAAAAAGAACAGGTCAACACTGAAGCTAGTTTAGAAAAATGACATAGTAACTACAGCTCTCAGGACACAACTTTCTGGTAGGAAATTTGAGATTTTGATTCCCACCCCCAATTCATTCTGAGATGGAACAGAGATTAAAAATCCTAATTTTCATAGACCAGTACCTGAAAAGAAACTAATTTTCATCAATCACAACACATCATTGATGTTTCAACCTCATTTATCATTTTAAAAAAATAATAAAAGGAATAAATTGCAAAAGAGCCATTTTGATAAGATAAAGATTTATTGTTTTAAAAAACATCAAAATCCTTTTTTTGATTCATCTTGCATGGGGTGAAACAAACTCTTCTTTGCAAAACATTTGTGTTTCCCACTAACAGAATCTTCCAGCAAAATCATTTAATAAAACAATTCTCAGCCAGCTGCAGCTGTGTCTGCAAGCACTACTCACAGGCATAATAGAATGGCTAGGGGTAATTTTTGCATTCGCACATTCCTATTTCCTTTGTAACAGTTTATATAAAGATTTCTGCGTCTCCCTCAGGCAACAACAGCTCCCTTTCTGTTCATAGCTTAAAACATAACTCTTAATGGTCACCGGAACTTTTCACAATGGTCGATTCTAACACCACTATCTTTATTTCTTTTGCCAGTAATACTGTGTCTAGGGTTAAAGGTGGGATCAAGTGATTGTTCCCTGCCTTCTTGCTCTCATCTACATCTCACAGTAATTCCATTATTCCAAGTTCCATATTTTGTTCTGGTCTATCTCAATTCTGTTCTAAATTCTTTGTGAGTTTCTTACATTTAGAAATGCAAGTATAACTGCTAACTATTACAAGAAGAGAGAGTAATCCATCCACTGAAAGCTGATGTCTTCTTCAGGTTGTACACTGGTCTTCCCTTTTCAGGACTCTGTTTCATTTTCCTCCTGCAGATGAGAGACAGGACAATGCCTCCCAGCACTGTGGGCCACAGAGTGATTCTGTGAATGCCACCTAAATCCCTTAACCCATGCCTGCCAAGTTCAGTTCCTGCAACTGCTCTAGATGGCTTACACTTTATTCTCTTAGGAGACCAGCTAAGGCAGGTAGGGAGTCAGGAGAAGCAGTTCTGTTATCATAAGTTTTAAAGAAGGTATAATATACCCTGTCTTACAGGAAGACTTCAAGAGCGATCAGGATCTTCTACAGCTCTTTGGAGGAAAGCACTCTGCATAGCCACTAAGCAGTTTCTCATGGATCTTTCTCTCCCGACGTGCTTTGCCCAAATGAAACAACCTTGACACTCTCACTCACTCTTTTCTCCAGCATATTTCCAACCAAGAGCTACACCCCCCCCCAAAAAAATTTCCCCTTCAAGGGGTCTTGCAGTCTAGCAGTATGGAGGTCTCTGTTCTCTTCTTCCACACTCCCAGTGCCTGTTTCATGGAAGGAGAAGACTCCTTTCACAGGGCTGGAAGCTGTACAGATGCCGACTACACAGCCATCTCCAGACTTGCCTCAAATCTGAAAGCAACCCAAGAAAGTAAGGGCAGAAGAAGGCTGAGCATTCTTATGAATTACCTGATCAAAATCATGTTTGGTGGGGAGATGAACTTGTATTGAAAAGCTTGAGATAGACAGACACAACATAATAAGTCACCTTTACTGTAAACAGATTAGGTTGGATCCTTGGGCAGACTATGCCAAACTGAAGCAGAAGCCAAACCGTAGCATAATGTGCTTTGACCACCTACTGGCCTTACACAACCTACAACTGAGTTGGCAGCAAAGGAGAAGAAAATCAGTTAAATGTGGAGCAAAGGTTCTGACAAAAGGACTACAAAAGAAATGGAAGGATCATCAGAGCAGATGGGTTAAAAAGCAGAACATGTGCATCCTGCAATAAGGCAGAAAAAGATTTAATACACTGCAAACCACTGAGAGGAGACACCTCTAAAGGTGGGTTGGAGTACTTCTGTAACCTATGATTTTCATACAAAACATGAAGGGACTGCAAATTTAATCCCCTCAAGAAGTGAGCAGCTACACAGGCTTAGGAATGCTTGCCATCAGAGCACCCACATGCTCCCTGCTTCTCAGAAAACAGTAGACAATCAGTGCACACCCAAGGCCCTCTGTAATTCTGTGATTGCAGCACACCACAAGAATGCCAACAGCAAAGTCATGGATTAGAGCAAGACTGAAATATGCCATGGACCAAGATTTAGAATTTTTTAGATTTCAGAGTTTGGGGTGAAAGGCATGAAGGACTCTTAGGGAAGTAAAATCTATAAACTGAACACACAGAATCATATAGAACGGTTGAGGTTGGAAGGGACCTCTGGAGATCATCTAGTCCAACACCCCTGCTCAAGCAGGGTCCTCTAGAGCATGCTGTGTCCAGGGGTTTTTTTTTTTTACCCTCACAGGAAAGAAGTTTTTCCTCAGGTTCAGACGGAACTTCCCGTGTTGCAGTTTATGCCCGTTGCCTCTTGTCCTGTTGCTGGGCACCACGGAGAAGAGTCTGGCCCCAGCCTCTTGACACCCCCCCTTCAGCTACTGGTACACATTGATGAGATCGCCTCTCAGTCTTCTCTTCTGCAGGCTCAACAGGCCCAGCTCTCTCAGCCTTTCTTCACAGGAGAGATGCTCCAGTCCCCTCCTCATCTTCGTAGCCCTCCGCTGGACTCGCTCCAGTAGCGCCGTGTCTCTCTTGGACTGTACTGGGGAGCCCAGAAGTGGACACAGTACTCCAGGTGAGGCCTCCCCAGGGCTGAGGACAGGGGCAGGATCACCTCCCTCCACCTGCTGGCAACTTCATCTGGGCAACAGCCCAGGTGGGGGAGAGAGCCTTGCATGTTGAACGACATTTACTTGGTTGTTTTGCTGTTCCAGCCTGTCCAGGTCCCTCTGAATGGCAGCACAGCCTTCTGGTGTGTCAGCCACTCCCCCCAGCTTTGCATCATCAGCAAACTTGCTGAGAGTGCACTCCCTAGACCTCTGTCGTTCATCCTAGCATTTTCCCCCTTATATCCTATCACTGAAATTATCTTTTCATGAAGCTATTATAACCCAAAGATCTCACTCCTGAAGGGTCACAGTCAGTTCAAAACCCATCATCAGTCTATCTGTAAAGTTACAACACGTTCCACTCACGTGCACTGCTCTCCTTTCATCTGGGCTGAATCTTGTCTGCCATCTCATTGCCTGCTCACTCACCTTTGGAAGGTCATTCCCATAGTTACTCTCCAACACCATTCACTTTGCTACCCTCAGTAGCTCGGTATCCTCAACAGACTCTACAGGCCCTACAGACTCTCTGGCAGGCCCCCAGGTCCTCATTTGCTTGAAAACAGATATTAGTTTCTTCAGAAGCTTCTGTTAGGTGTTCTTCAAAGACTTTGTTCACAAGCTTTATTGCAATTTTACATCCAACCTCTTCTACTTTCTGCATTAGGGTATCACTTCAGCTTTTTGATGGATGCCTCCTCATTTTAAATACACATCTTTACTCCACTTTTTCAACCACAATGGCATTTTTTCGCCCTTTCTCATATGTTTTTTGATATATGACATACACTTGTGTTATGCTTTTCAGTTTGGGATCTTTAAGCTGCCTATAAGGATTTAATTCCCTCCAACGACCCTTTTAGTTCCTTTTTATATCACTTTCTCTATTGTACATAATTCCCTGTTTTGAACTGGAAGCAACCTTCACCCTCATTGACTTCTCATGCTCTAGAGAGGGTGTTGAATCTAACTGCATCACAACAAAAATTGCATAGTGGTTCTTCACTTGTAACTTTACGATCAAGTACTTAAAGTTGGCATAATTTCTGGCTGGCAATTTTGAATTTAGCCACCTCATGCTTTGAAAGGCTGCCAGCTACTATCCAGGCAACTGGAATCGTGTTGACAAAGTTCAGGGCATTTTCATAGTCAAAAGGATGCAAATGTCTGAATTGATGCAATTATACTAATATAGGTTTTTGTGTAGGTTCAGCTTAATGCCGTACAGGGCAAAGGAAAACGGAAAGTTTGTGCTAATTTGAGACAGAAGGCACAACAGTAGTTATCTGCATTTGGCACATGACGTGGCTTTTTCATAACCTTTTATTCCAACAGCAGCAAATACCACAACCTGTGTTTATTCAGAAGTTAATAAGCAAGCTGTAGCTATTCTGTGAAACGGCTCCTTCTAGGGAAAACATATGGAATGGTCTAATTTTCCTGATAAGAAATTACCTCAAGTTTCACATACCAAAGGGATACCAAACTGAAGCAGCATTCTTACCGGACATGTAGCAGATAGGCTTTTGCCAAGCCGTATCTGTGCTAACTCTCAGAGCTCACTGCTGATTTACCTTGCATATGTCGTATACTACCCTTTACATTAGGATTCAAAATCAGAAACTCTTCTGTCAGCACCAGCCTATCTTGATCAAAACTAAGATTTGCTATTCTGGAATCACATATCTTCTATAGAGGACCAAGAAACAGATGAGACAGATGTTCTACACAAAGACATAGCTGACTGGTAAATAACACACTGCTTCCTTTTCCTAAATATCTGCTGTTTCTCAGACAAAGAAAGAAACATCTATAGACTAAGACTGTTTATGTAAGACTCCATCTGGACAGATTTGGCTCGACTAGCACAGTCCATTCTGATCTAGCAAGATGCAGGCAGCTACTTCTAAGAAAACCTTGGGAGTACCCATGCTTGAATGGTTTCTGACTGGTAGTTTATTCCAACATGATTGTGGGGTTTAAGTAACAATCATTTCAGTCCTTTGCTAATAGCTGACATCTAGAACAGGAGACACTTTAGATCTATGTGCACTTGAAAAAGTTTAAAAATTCCCTAGTGCAAATGCAGATTCCTTAAGAAATTTCAGAAATCGGGGCAACTATACAGGATAGAGGAAAACACTTTTCTTTTTCTTCTGAAAAGTAGACCATGGACTGCCAAAGGCCGATAGACTACAAGCTAAAATCTAGTG